AGCACCCGCCGCAGCCGTGGGCTCGTCTCCCGCCTGGTTGGCCCGGCACCTCCGGAGGCGGTGGCCGTGGTGGCGGCCCGCGCAGCTTGGCGTCTACCAGCGGCTCCAGTGCTGTGACCTGCCAGTACCAGCTTCAGACAGGGCCTCTCCGCGGCACTCTGTGCCGCCGCCCGCACCGACCCCCCGCTGTTTCCGCCGCCTCGACATCTTTTTCGTCGTCGCTTTGGCCCGCCCGGACCTCCTGACTGGCCCAGCCTGCTTCGCCAGGGCGTGCCGATCTTTGAGTTAGACATGGATCAGATAGGTGCTGCTTTGCATGCTTTGTATGCTGACGCTTCTAGTGTTGTGGATCTTATACCCTGTGTACTCTAGTTTAGTGTTTCACCCTTGTGTAGCTTAGCTTCCCCTGCTGCGTCAGGCGTAGGACTGCCTAGGTTGCCTAGCTAGCTTCCTGCACCCGCCCCGTCCCCGGCCTCGCCACTGCTCGCTGTCCTTCACGCTCGACTCCGGTGTTCTGCCTGTTCTTCCGTGACCCGGTTCCACGCTCACTCCGCTTGCTGCACCTGCGGTTGTCTCCCTCGCTGACCCCTCTGCGGTCCTGTCGTCGCTCGCAGTTCCACTTCCCTTCCCTGTCCAGCCGTTCCCTCGGGCTCTCTTACAGGCTTCCACGTTCCCTCGTTCTCCAGGAACCTGGTTGGTGTCGGCGTCTTCAGGACCTCGGCGTCACCACCACGTTCCCTGGGCACGAGCGGTTCGCTGTCTGTTCCGAGGCGTCTCAGGTTCCCCTCTTGCGACGTTCCCCCGGACCCGGTGTCTGGTCTGTTTACCCTCGACACCGCTTCCCCCCCGGTTGGTGCGTCCTCCCAGGTCGCTGCAGCTTGCTCGTGTCGGTCCCTCACTCACCCGTCCCTTCTCTGGCACCACCGCTTAGGTCACCCTGCTCTCCCCACGTCTGCATCACATGTCTCAGCACGGTCTTGTCTTAGGCTCCCCGCGTCGCTCCCTGCCTCCCACCCTCGACTGCGCCACCGTGCACGCCTTGCGTCGAGGGTCGGCTCCGCCGTGCTCCTCACTCCTCCTCGCTGCGTCCCTGCTACTGCCCCCCTTCAGACCCTGCACCTGGACGTTTGGGGCCCTGCCCCCGTCCCGGACCGCGCGGTGAGCGCTACTTCCTTGTGCTCGTCGACGACTACACGCGCTACACCACGGTGTTCCCCTGGAGCGAAAGGCCGACGTGCCCGACGTTCTTTCTCCCGTGGGTTTTGGCTGCCGTCTCCACCGCGGTCTCCCCGTGTTGTGTCTCCACTCCGACCGTGGCGGCGAGTTCGCCTCTGGTCGGCTTGGACAGTTCTGTCGTGCGGAGGGCATCACCCAGTCGTACACGTTGCCGGACTCGCCACAGCAGAATGGGGTTGCTGAGCGCCGGCATCGGCTTGGTCATGGAGGTCGCCCGTACATCCATGATCCATGCCGATGCCCCCCATTTTCTGTGGCCGTTCGCTGTCCTACGCTGCTCACCAGCTTAACCCTGTGGCCACGCTCCCAGCGGCCGCAGGTTTCGCCGACCCTCCTTTGGACCGGTCCCCGGTGACGCGTCTGCGTTCCACGTCTGGGGCTGCCTTGCTCACGTTCGTGCCTCTGGCACGGACAAGCTCACTGCCCGCACTGTCCCCTGTGTCTTCCTCGGTTTCCCCCTGGACTCGTCTGACTGGCTTTTCTACCACCCGCCGTCTCACCGCTTCCTCCACTCTCGTGACGTCACCTTTGACGAGTCCGTCTCCTTCTACCGCCGCTTCCCTCACCGAGGTCTCCCAGTTGCCCCCCCCTTTTCCTTGCTCCCTCTCCCCGGTAGCCCCTGCCCCTCTCCCGCCTCGTCCTGCCCCGTCTGGTGTCTCCCACGTCACTCCCCTCCCGTCGGTTGTCCCCGTTGAGGAGTCTGCTGACTCTGGTGGTACCCCCGGTCCGTCCTTGCCGCGTCCCCCTTCCCCGGTGCCTCCGCCCCCACTGTCGCAGTCGCCGACCCCGCTGCCGCCGCCGTCGCCGTCGCCGCCGCAGCCGCGCCGTCGCCGCTGTCGCCGCGCAGCTGCCGCCGCGCTCTCGGCCCCTGGGGGTGCTGGTGTGGAGGAGGGTGTTCGTCCTGCGGCTTCTGGGGGTGCCGCTGGTGTTGGAGGGGGTTCTCGCTCTGGGGTGTTGGTTCTGGGGGTGCTGCTGTTGAGTGTTCTGCCGACGGTCGTTCTGCCTCTGCTGGTCCGAGAGTTCCGGCCCAGCCGTCGTCGCCGCCGCAGCAGCCGTCGCCGCCGGTTTCCGCTCTCCGCCTGCTCGGCCTTCCCTCCCCGGACCGCGCGCCGGTGTCTCCCCCACCGCCTCCTGACCTCCCTGTCTACGGTCCTGTGTTCCCGCCGCCAGACTCGTCTCCGGCCCGTCTTCCTCCTCGTTCCCCTCCTGTGTCTCCTCCGCTGTCCCCTGACCCTACCCTCCGTCTCACGTTTGGGCTCGCCGTCCCTCCCGTGCTCGTCCCGTCTCTCCTGTCCTGCCCACCCACCCTATGTTGCTCCGTTCCCACTCGTCTCGTCCTCCCCTCCTCCCGTCCCCTCCTCCCTCGTCCCTTGCTGTTGCACCTCCTCCGTTCTCTGACTACCTCCGTGCTGCTCGTCCCCTTGTCCCTCGGGTCCTTGCCTCTCTTGTTACCGACCCTGCTGTTCCTGTCTCGCGCCTTGACGCGCTTGTCGCTGCTGTCGCTGACTTCGCTTCTACCCGCCGCCTTGACTACGCTACCGCTCTGGTCTCTGACCCTGCCCGTCCTCTGTCCGTCGGGGGTGCTCCTGCCCTTGGCAGTGACGTCCTAGAGGACAGGCAGTACGAGCTGGCTTTCCTTTCCGAGGCTGCTCCCCATCTCTGCTCCATGCTGTTAGTCCCTGAGGGTGACCCAGACGCCTTCGACATCCCGACCCCTCGCACCTACGCTGAGGCCACCTCGGGACCTTGGGCCTCTCAGTGGATAGCTGCCATGGAGCAGGAGATGGCATCTTGGAGATCCACCGGCACTTACGTCGACGCAGTTCCCCCGCCTGGGGTGAACGTAGTCGATGGTCGGTGGCTCTTCAAGGTGAAGCGCCCCCCTGGAGAGCCGCCTGTCTTCAAGGCGCGCTACGTGGCCAGAGGTTTCAGTCAGCGCGAGGGGGTTGACTTCTTCCAGACCTTCGCCCCGACCCCGAAGATGACCACTCTTCGGGCGCTGCTACACGTAGCAGCACAGCGTGACTACGAGCTTCACTCCTCGACTTCTCTACTGCCTTTCTTCAGGGCAGCCTACACGAGCAGGTCTACCTGCGCCGACCACAGGGCTTCACTGGTACCTTCCCTCCTGGGACCCAGTGGCTTCTCAGGCGCCCGGTCTACGGCCTGCGTCAGGCTCCCCGCGAGTGGCACGACACGCTACGTGCCACGTTAGCAGACCTGCAGTTCTTTCCGTCCTCTGCTGACCCTTCACTGTTTGTGCGTTCCGGCCAGACTCCGTTCTACATCCTTGTCTACGTAGACGACCTGGTCTTCGCTACTCCTGACAGGGACGCACTGGCCTCTGTGAAGGCTGAGCTGCTGAAGAGACACACCTGCACTGACCTTGGAGAGCTGCGTCGCTATCTTGGCCTGCAGATCTCTAGGGACAGAGCAGCACGCACCATCACTCTGACCCAGTCACACTTGGTGCGTCAGGTCCTTCAGAGGTTCGGTCTTCAGTTCTCCTCCGCACAGCCCACACCTCTACCCGTAGACCATGGGCTCTCTGCTCCCGTTCCTGAGGAGCCAGTAGAGCCCAGTGGCCCCTACGCAGAGCTGGTGGGTTGCCTCATGTACCTGATGACTTGCACTCGCCCAGATCTCGCATACCCTCTCAGCATCCTGGCTCGCTTTGTGGCTACAGGCAGACACCGACCTCAGCACTGGTCTGCCGCTAAGAGGGTTTTGCGTTATCTTGCTAGTACATCAGGCATGGGGTTAGTGCTAGGAGGACGCAGGCCAGTGGTCCTTACTGGGCACACAGACGCTTCTTGGGCAGACGACGCTGAGACGCTCAGGTCGTCGCAGGGCTACTGTTTCAGCCTTGGTTCGGGTGCTATCTCTTGGAGATCCACTCGCTCGTCGTCTGTGGCTCAGTCTAGCTGTGAGGCTGAGATCTACGCTGGTGCCATGGCGGCACAGGAGCTCCGCTGGCTGACCTTCTTGCTCACAGACTTAGGTGAGCGGCCTAGCTCTGCCCCGGTCCTGTACGCTGACAACAGGGCCATGATACTCCTGTGTCAGGAGCCTCGGCTTGAGGGCAGAGCGAAGCATATCCAGCTGCGGTACTTCCTCCTGCGCGAGCTACAGCAGCGCCGCCAGGCCCGCGTAGTTCACTTGGCCTCAGGTGCCAACACAGCTGATATCTTTACTAAGGCGCTTGCGCCTAAAGATCATCAGCGGCACTGTGTACAGCTTGGTCTTGTTCCTATAGCTGCTCCCCTGTTAGGATCCTGATTGTGTACTCTCTATTATATATGCTTGTCAGACTGGCCTTGTGGCCTTACCTCCAGTGGCTGGACTAGTAGTGCCACCCTGGCTTGCTTCAGTTTTGGTTGTATTCTTGCTGACTGGTCTCCAGACCCCTGCCTCAGTGGTTGGACTAGTAGTGCCGCCCTGAGCTGTTTGCTTCTTGTTTAGTTTCACCCCTTGTCTAGCCTAGGGGGTGTGTCAACTTATACATATTATCTATGTAGAAGTTATAGGCTAGACTGAGGTATGCTTCTAGTGAGTACAACCAACTAGTATTTGTTCTAGGTTTCCACCTCTAGTAATCATTCGTTTCTACGTTAACAGAAATTCCTTACATTGCGACTGACCGTTACAACTGCAAGGATGGTAACCGAAGCGACAATCGAGTCGCTGTGCGACTTGATAACCGCCCTTTCAACTGTATTCTACAACTGCTTAACTTTCCTACTTTCTATATATTGCTGTATGCTTGTTCTTTTAACCAATCACTTGTTCTCACATACTAGTACAAGGGTTCAACTACTCAACTTCCGCTGCACTACTCAAGTCTCCTTTTACAACTGGACTTAGTCTCTGGAAAGATCCTAAGGGCTATTTCTCAGCCCAACATTTGTAAAATCCATGGGATCCTTTAGACGGAGTTTGCGATAAAAAAGGGCGATGCCTACAGCTCACTTCTTTATTGGCTTGGCAATGGCACCATTCCGTCCTAGCACCGGGCCATCGTTTTGCAACGGTTACATCTCCAGTCCAGTCTGAGACCCTAGAGTCGACTCGGATTGCCACCCACCATCCCCTGCACAATGGATAACTCCTCATCCAGTGGCCTCATCTTCTCCCCCTCGTTAAGCTGCTGCACCACCTCATCCACCTTCAAGGCTGCACGGTCCACTTCCTCCCCCACCACCTCCGCCCTGATAGCCTCCAGGTCATTCGCCAAGCGCGCCATGCTGGGGCGCGTAGCAGTGAGCTTGGCAGTGCAGCTGATGGCCATGTGAGCGATGCGCAGATGGACATCGCCAGGGGCCTCCATGCACGGGTCCCCTAGGGATAAGGCATCTTCGTTTGAGATGTGTTTTTTCGGCCTGAGAGGAAGAGCAGAAAAGAGAGATGGGGCAGAGAGAAGGGGGAAGCTGGAGTGAGGAGGGGACATGGCGAAGAAGGAATAACATAGCAAGAACCGGATAATGTTTAGGGAGGGAGACGACTAGTTTTATTGACCCTAGTTCCCAACATTCAGCGACCTAAGTCCAACATTCCATCTTACCCAATCCACGATACTGCTTATTTCTCCATCATCTTTGAACGTGACATTGCGCCCCGTCAGCACCACAAGCATCAGAACGCCAAAGCTGTAGGTAAAGAAACAAAGGAGAAGACCCAGAAAGAGGATAGCTGACTCAGCGAAATGGCAACGGCTACGATCCATCAAGCAAGGACTACACCTGTTCAAAGAATCGGCATCCACCTGTACACACTCAGCGCTCCATGTGGCCCATCTTTGCTGATGAGTATCCGGGTCCACAAATCCCGGAGTGCCCATCACCCTTGTGGTGCCCACAGTGGTTCCCTCGCCCAGGCCTCACGAGCCCAAAGTCTGCAATCTTTGCCTGAAGCGGACAGCGAAGAGTATTGGACGTGCGTACAAGGGCAGATGGTCTTGCTGGAGCAGAGAGGAGCGTGGAATCTAGGTGACGATCCATGTGTGCGCATGCGGAATGACAACCCAGTAAATCGTGGGTCATGATAGTCATCCACACATACTTAACGGACACATGGCCTTCTGCAAGCTGGCCAGTTTTGAGTGGGAGAGCCACAAAGTGCTGGTTAATATTCTACCTACAAAACTTGCTTGCCTGCATCTTATATCCAAAAGAATGTTGGCCGGCTTGATGTCGCGATGCACGATGCCAAAGCTATGGAGATACTCAAAGCCGTGAGCCGAGCCATGAGAATGTCCAGGCCGCTGCTGCAGCGTGAGAGGAGTTGGTGCATCTGGAGGTAGACGGATGGATACGAAGCGGAACAAGATAGGATGGGACCTGCTCTTTTACTCACGGTAACTTGCTAAAACATAAGGCATGCTTTTGAGGATTGAAGGTTGTCAGATCGTGACGTGAAAATCTGAATACAATGGCACACGACTTAAGTATATGGTGTTATCAGAGCCAAATACATGTTCACATTTGCAGGGAAGGGAAGGTGGGGGGGTGGGGGGGTGGGAGAAATCTTGAAGGGGCCAGATTAAAACTCTTCTACACAGAAAGAACAATCAATGCAGGAAAGTGATAAAGCGTAATGCTAACAAAATTAACTACACGAGCTAAGACCAAGGAGAAATTGCAAACGGAGCACTCACCGTTTCCAACCCAGTTGAGCAGGTCTCCATTGGGCACAAACTCGTAGATGAGAACCTGTTC